TGCTTAGCATGTGTATTCTATCAGATGTGAGTATGGTTGAGAAATATTTTCATTTTGAGACAAGGTCTCCCAGCCCTCCAGCCCTCACCTCCGACTATAGGTGTGCACCACCATGCCTGGCTCATTTTTAGACTGGTTCTTGCTGTGTCTTCCACACCAGCCTCAAACCACAATTTTCTTGCCTCAGCTTCCTCCAGTCATTGAAATTACAAGTACAAAATACCTCTGCTCCCTGCCTTTAGGTTGGACCAGGAATCAAACTTGGCCTCCCCTTTGGTTCCAGCCTGCAGAGCACACACAGGGTCATGGCAGCGGGCCACTGTAGCCAGGCTGAAAATTATTTTCAGGAAAAAGTTGATTATAGATAACTATATTGTTCAGTAACATTCTTTTTTTTTTCTTTTTCTTTCTTTTTTTGTTGTTTACTTATTTTTATTTATTGAGAGAGAGAGAGAGAGAGGTACTCCTGACGGGGCCTTCCTGCCACTATCCACATCCAGTCCATTTGGCATGTCCAGGGAGGACAGGACCTTTCCCACGTGGGTCATTTTGCAGTACCACTGTGCCACGACCTTGCCCCAGCAATGTTCTTTCTTCATTGGCATCTTTGCACAGTATAGTGTAATGCCACAAATTGTATTGTGTAATTGTATGGCTATTCCATAATTTATTTTTATTCATTACTTATTGTTTATTAGCTACGTGGTGTTTAGTATTGTGCTCTTATAAAATAATCCAGCAAATATATTTGAGTTACTTTTTGGTTCATATACTTAAATTATTAAACAGATGATGATGTTGGGACAAATGATACATCACTTGAAGTTAAATTATGTTTGGGCCTAACCTTACAACATGCCCCAAAATATTGTTTGGGATCTAAGTGTTGAATTTTGTTTTGTTGTGAATGAGAAAATTGTTCTGGTATTTTCAGTAGTAAACAGAAGGCTCTCTAAAGATAATGAATTATCTGTATTTGAAGATAAGCATTTAATTTGGAATGTTGCAACTCCACCTCAAAGCTTTTGCTAAAATGGACTATTCAGCTTATTTATTGTTCTAGAAAATGCTTTCTTTTTTTTTCCAGTGAAAGTTACCAGAGAATATGGTAATAAAAAGAAATAGGATAACAGGAAATTTGAATGGCATGTCGGAATGTAGTTAGCTAAGGCATATTATCACTGAAGCATGCTTTGTCCCTAGGAAAATGGATGTCTGCCTGAAAGTAATACGTTCACTTATGCTGAATTGAAAAGTGAAGCCATAAATGGGAATTTAGACTATATTTTATCATTTTGTAAGTATGCAACAATAACAGTTTACTTAACAGGTGGTCATTTCAGTTACTGTTGAGGGATACAGTATATTTCATAGAAGAAAACAAGCAAGTTTTATGTTTTGTTAAAGCCAGGTTGGTAAGGTAGTTTGTGAATTGAACTTGTGGATAATTTGGAAATAATTTTAAAGTTGGAAGGACCTTGGGTAACACGATGTTAAGAATTGAGGTAGAGGGACCAGCAGATGGAGTAATGGTTATGTCACTGGACTTCCACATAGTCAATTGCGGCTTAAGTCCCAGACCCAGCCTCTTAAAAACTCAAGCCAGGTGCATGTGTATATGTGCCCAAAATCCTGAGAGAAGGGATTACAACATGGCCATCCCCCCAGAGGGTGATTTCTCATTTTCTGTCTCTCTAGCAAGTGCATGTGTCCTATAGCAAAAAAAAAAAAAAAACCTCTCAAAAATGAAGAGAATTGAAATTGGACTGGAGATCCTGAATATTTGTGTCCTATTTATAATTATAATCTTCTGATTATATGAACTGGAACTAATTTCTTTTCTTCAGTTTCTTTTTTTGTTTTTTGTTTGTTTATGGCCAGAGGGTGTATTACTTAAGAGAGGGGAGAGAGAAAGCACCCCCACTGAGGCATGGTCACATCCAATCCCTTCTCTATTTCTCCATCCCATTGGGATTTGGGGCATGCATTCACACACATCCAGCCCAAAATGTTTCTCAAGCCACCAAGGCTGGGAGTTGAACTGCTTGATCAACCATGTGAGATCCAGCTTCCTTAACTACTAGATCAGAGGGCAAGTCCATTTCATTTTTATTAAATGATGATCCTACTGCCTATCTGCCTTGGAGGGGTTGTGAAAATCAGATGCAATAATGTCTCTGTAAGTGTTTTCTAAACTAACATCAACTTTAATTACATTTAGTCATCTCAATAAGTCTTTGTTAACAAAGATGCAGCAGATGTTTACTAAAGATTTAAAAATGCTAGGGTGTTTTATAATGGCTATCATATGTAAATAGATTTAATCTCCACTGATAGATAAGGAAAGGCATGGAGAGATTAAACAGTTTGCCCAAGGTCAGTGATTTGAGCCAAAAGTAAGATCTTCTGGCTTTTACTTTATTCCCTTGCCGCATTTTATTTTTAATAAATAAATGAGGCATTTCTTAAAAGTGTTTTTCAACATGACCATATTACTTGAAGTGTTTTGGATCTTGTGTGAAATACATCATTTAAAAACAAAACACTCAAACAACAATTTTTGCTTCCTTAAAAATGTTCAAAGTTGAACTCTAGTAAAATGTATGTTCAAACTGTGTAGGTGAAAACTTTGTAAACTAGATTAGCAGTATTCATTACCTATGCATGTGTCACTCAAAATAGTTCATTGTAATAGGGTCAGGGATAGGCAGTGTCTAGTATGAAAAATGGTGACTGACAGAGGTACCGTTATTTGAGTTGAAGGTTAATCCTGGCTGTTATCTGAGTGTATTGATTTTCCTTCTACTCTGTATAATATATAGATTTTCCATAGTGACAGGATGAAAACAGAGAAGCATTAGCAGAGGAATCTGGGCTCATAAGGTGCATGCACGAGAGCTGCCTTTTCCTTTTATCACAGCATCCATTCCACTTCATTGTCAACCTCTTGATTTTTCAGACTTGTTTGTTGCTAAGGAAACTAGATGTTTTTTGTCAACAGCCTTCCAGCTTGCTGAGATGTTTCTGGTCACCTTTTTAGAGAATAAAAACTTGACAGTATTCTTTCAAATACTACTTTGAATAGTATTAAAATACATTTTCAAGAAGTTGTTTATTAAATTTGAAGAACAAAAATGCCAGGGATTTAAAGACTCTATGAGTTTAGTCCTGTCAGTACCTTCCCCTCCCTCTTTAATTTACAGATCTTTGAAGAGCAGTTAGTTCTATAATGGCTGTCATTTGTTTTAGGCAGATCTTAGGTATGCACTATTGGGTTTTTTGTGTTTTTTTTTTTTTTCCACTATTGGTTATTAAATATCCATCACAAGGAATGTCAGGTGGTAGAGAAGACTAAGTGGATTATCTTGATCAAGTTTGTGAAGTACTAGGAAACATTTTTCCCACTTGTATTTATAGGCGTGGAAAATTAATTTGGTCAAGCAAAATTGAAGGTTGCTTAGGAGATGCATGTGATTGTATCTACTTTAATATTCCTTGTGTTAACTAAGTACGGGTCATTTGTAAATGTCTTCTAGATTTTGAATACTGTTAAACCATTTAGAAATGTATGCTCTTGTTTATAACATTTGAGCTAAAAACAATTCTCCTTATGTAATGGTTAGTTTTTATTTATATTTAGGTTACTTGAACAAACCTGAAAAATAATTGCAACTCTTCTCATCAGTTTTTTTTTTTAATTTATTTATTCATTTAACTCCATTTGTTATTATTTTTTAATTTGAACAGAGAGAGAGAAATGGAAAGTGAGGAAGCAAGCTGCCAGGTTCGGGACTCAAACTGTGGTCGGCCATGTGAGAGTCCAGCACTCTCAACCACCACGCCACCTGCTGGCCCTTCTCATCAGTTTTTTAAAAAAATTAAATCAGGTGTCTTAATGTTCACCTGAACTGTATTTGTTCATTGTCTTCAGAGTTTGCATGATCTATAAATTCAGTAATTCCACATCTTGTATCAGTCAGTAGACACATTCTATTTATAATGAGAAGATTAAGTCAATTACTTATGGCATAGGTCCATTTTAATACAACTGTTGCAAAAGTAAATTCAGAAGGTGCCTACTGTGATCTCACCACTTGATATATTTAGAGCAAGGGTTATCTGAAGAGTCAGTGTAAGGCCTGAGTCTTGTACTTTGCAATCAGACTTGCAATGCCAGCTTTAAAATGCACACGGATGAAGCCTGCTAAATGCCAGGATAGGAGTAGAGTAAATAAATGCTCAGAAGCGTCAAAGATCAGCGTAAATCAATTACGTAACAGAAGGAAAGACCTACTTTATTATGACTTGAGGTTGTCACTCTAGTGTGAATGCAGGTCACAGATTTTAGTGAAAAATGGAGTCAGGAAGTAAGAATAATTCAACAGAACCCAGTTTCACTCTCAGTAAGAAGTGACCCCTTTATCTGCTGACTTTAAAGGACAAGTCAGGTGTGGTTTTACAGTTTCTCTTTTCAGAAGGCCGTAGTATCCAATAACAACCTCAGTATCAATACCGGGGTGACCAAAAATGCTGGTGTGTTAGTAATTGCCATTTAAGGAACAGTGTCTATAAACTTACTAATTATATACGAGGATGGACTTCAAAAAGTTGATAGAAAATGTAATTAAAACACATATTTATTTTGATGTAAAAAATTTTGAAATTCATAATACATACTGTCCATGAATTTTTTGAATACGCCTTGTATGTTTATAAAAATAAAGTAAAAATGTTTCAAGGGTAGTTTATATTGCAAATATGTGTTAGTGTATTATCAATTTAATTTTGCTTGAAAATATTTTCACTTTATAAAATAAAATTTTTCCAAATGAATATTAAATTGTATTAGTATAAGTGTATTTTCAAATAAGCTGAAAATTGATTTTTTTTGGTCTTTGTTTCCTGAAATTTAATGACGATCTTTTCTTTTGCAGTGGAGTCAAATACATTGCCTTTCTCATTTAATACTTTGAGAGGCAGCCTCATTCTCGGCTTTAGGAGGTAAGATGATTAAATGTTCTCTGCCTGAATATGAGCTGATTTTTTTTTTCTGTCCTTTTGACTTATTAGGTGAAGAAAGATCCAGATATTATCTCCCGGTATTCTAGTTGCCCAAAATAATCTTACCTATTTATTCTTCCTTCTAAGTATTGAATTTAATTTAGACAGCCTTCTGTGTCATATTTTCTGAGAAGTACATGTAGATTTAGTAAGTATCTTTTTTCCTGGAAGAAAGTGCTGCTTGAAAATGACAAATTGGAGTTTTTTTGTGAGCTTTTAATTACAACCCAGTATTATTCATCTTCTCCCAAGAATTAGGGAGTGTTAATGTTCTTTTCCTTTTCAGTTTTGCTTGAAAATATTCAAACATGGGCCAGCAGGTGGCGTGGTGGTTAAGGTGCTGGAATTCCACATAGCAGACCACAGTTCAAGTCCCGACCCTGGTAGCTTGCTTTCTTTCTCTCT